AATGTGCACACCCTTTACCCGGCAATACCACTTCTAGGGATGTATCCCAAAGAGATCATAAAAATGGGAAAAAGACCCACATGTACAAAAATATTTATATCAGCTCCTTTTTTGGTGGCCAAGAATTGGAAATTGAGGGGATGCCCATCAATTGAGGAATAGCTGAACAAGATGTGGTATATGAATGTAATGGAATACTATTGTGCTATAAGAAATGATGAGCAGGCAGAATAAAAAAAACTTGGAAAGACTTACATAACTGATGCAGAGTGAAATGAGCAGAACCAGGAGAACACTGTACACAGTAACAACCACGTCATAGGATGACTGACTTTGATAGACTTGGCTCTTCACAGCAACATAAGAATCTAAGACATCTCCAAGAGATTCATGATGGAAATTGCTATCCACATACAGAGAAAAAAATATGGAATCTAAATGCAGATGGAAGCATACTTTTCCTTTTACTTTGTTGTTTTGTTTTATTGCTTCATTCTCCTGGTTCCTCTCATTAGTTCTAATTGTTCTTCACATCTTGACTAATAGGAAAATATGTTTAACATGAGTATATATGTAGAGCCTATATTGTATTGTATGCTGGCTGGGGGTGGGGGGAGAAATGAGAGGGGGAGAAAATTTGAAACTCCAAATCTTATGGAAGTGAATGTTGAAAACTAAAAGTAAATTTATATTAAAAAAAAAAAAGAAAAAGAAATAGCCTACCCTTCAGGGTAGGAGAGAAAGGAATATTTAGAAATTCTTTTTCCTTTCTTTGTACATCTAGTGCCTGGCACACAGTGATAATAAATGCTGCTGATAAAAATATATATATTTGCTTCCAAAAAAAGGAAATTGAGGGGATTTCCATCAATTGGGGAATGGCTGAACGAGTTGTGGCATATGAATGTAATGGAATACTATTGTGCTATAAGAAATGATGAGCAGGGGGACTTCCGAAAAACCTGGAAAGACTTACATGAACTGATGCTGAGTGAAGTGAGCAGAACCAGGAGAACATTGTACACAGTAACAGCCACGTTATGTAATGACTGACTTTGATGGACTTAGCTCTTCTCAGCAATACGAGGATCTAAGACAACTCCAAAGGACTCATGATGGAAAATGCTGTCCACATCCAGAGATAGAACTGTGGAGTCTGAATGCAGATTGAAGCAGACTATTTGCTCTCTCTCTTTTTGTTTTGTTTCTTCTTTCTCATGGTTCCTCCCATTCATTCAAATTCTTCTTTACAACATGACTAATGTGAAAATATGTTTAATGAAAAAAAATAAGGAAAAAATGCAATTCAGGGCTGGGATTCAGCCCTTACCTGGGCAAGGCAAAGATCTATCTAATCCACTATGTGCAGGATACCACAGCACCTGACAGGAGACAAATCAGCTGATCTGAATCATGCTTCTGAGCCCTGAGGCTAGCAGCCAGCCCCCTGGAAATTGCTGACAACACAGCCCTGAGTTATCCCTAAACTAAGGTTGCCCTCACAAGCTCAACACTGTTTTGTCTGGGAATGCTTCCAAGAGGAAGTGGGCTTGGACAGAGTGGGAGGGATGAGGAGTGATATGGAGCACACGTGGTCTCTGTAGTGGTTTTTCTTCATTTTTTTCCTACCTGCTGGTTTTTGCATTCCTGAATCTTCTGTGGAGAATTCCAGATGCAACTCCATTCAGTCTGTTTGGGACCTAACCCTTACAAGTGCCCTTCCCCAGAACACTTGCTCAGCAGGGCAAGGTTAGCAGACTTGGCAAAAAAAAAAAAAAGCCTTGCATTTAAGCCAGTGCATGTGTCTGCTAGAGATGTGTCTATTGGCTGCCTGATCTAACAGACTGAATCTGTACAAAGGGACCTGAAATGCTTCACAGTTGCTCCTCATTCTAAGGAAATTCCATATAGATGAGCTCAAATTTACAGACTTGAAAAATTAAGGGATGAGCACATTTGAACAAATCCACAGCCTCCAACTTTAAGGATTCCCCAGACTTTAGTCTCTTTTGAAAAATGACAGGAAGCTCCCAAGGAGCACGTAGATGAAACAATAGAAAATTCAAATTAAAAAGCTTTTGTACAAATAAAACCAATGTAGCCAAAAGCAGAAAATTGAGGAGGAGGGGGGATTTTATAGCAGTTTCTCAGATAAAGGTTTCATGTCTCAAATATATAGAGAACTTTGTCAAATTTATAGGAATATAAGTCATCCCCAATTGAAAAATGGTCAAAGGATATGAACAGGTAGTTTTTTGATGAAAAAATCAAAACTATATATAGTCATATAAAAAGTTCTAAATCATTATTAATTAGAGAAATACAAATTAAGAGAACTTTGAGATATCGTCTCACATCTATCAGATTAGCTAAAATGACAAAAGGTGAAAATGACAGATGGAGGAGGTATGGAAAAATTGGGACAATAATACACTATTGGTGGAACTATGAATTGATCCAACCATTTTGGAGAGTAATCAGAAATTATGCCCAAAGAGTTATAGAACTGTGTATGTACCCTTTGATCCAGCAATAACACTATTACATCTTTTCCCCAGTGTGACAGGGAAAAAAGAAAAGAACCTATATGTTCTAAAATATTTGTAGCAGCTCTCTTTGTTATAGAAAAGAACTGGAAATTGAGGGGATGCCTATCAATTGGGGAATGGCTAAAGAAGTCATGGTATATGATTGTGATGAAATACTACTGTGCTAGAAGAAAGGATGAGCTCAATGATTTTAGAAAATCATGGAAAGACTTGCATGAAATAATGAAAAGTGAAGTGAGCAGAACCAAGAGAACATTGTATACAATAACGACAATATTATTTGAAGAATAATTGTGAACAACCAAGTTATTCTGAGTACTATAAATACTCAAATCAACTATAAAGCACCTATGAATGTAGATGCTATTCAAATCCATAGAAAGAACTGATAAATAGAAGTATGAATAGCATAGTTCTACATATATTTATAATTCTGTGTCAGATGGTAGCCTTCTCTAGTGCAGGGTGGGGAGGGAGGGAGGGAGATAGTTTGGAACTTCGGAAGTGTAAAAAAAAAAATTTTAATCAAATTTAAAAAAATGAAATGCGAACCAACAGCTCTAGCTATGAATTAGCAGTTCTACTAAAAGATTCAGAGGAAAAGAATGGTGAAACTATTTGGTCATTTCAGGTCTGAAGTCTATTTGCAGTTATCATTTATTGGTATGATTCCTTGAGATGTGGTTATGTGAAGAAACTTGTTAACTATGTTTAACAGTTGTTCAAGTTTGGCTGGGTTTGAAAATATCCAATCAAAAGACAAGGAAGATTTGATTCCTTTAAAAAAAAAAAAGTGTTAGACTAGATAATTTCTAAGAAGCCTTCTAGTTCTATTAGAAAAAAAAAAACTTATGTGGCAGCTAGGTGGTGCAGTTCATTAAGTGCTAAACCTGGAGTTAGGAAGATCCGGGTAAAGTGATCAGTCAATAAGCATTTATCAAGTGTCTGCTATATGTCAGGCATTGTGCTAAGTGGTAGGGATACAAAGAAATGCAAAAGACAAACCCTTCCCTCAAAGAGCTCACAGTCTAATGGGGAGACAACAGGAAAACAGCTACTTACAAACAAATTGTATACCGGATACTGGATAAATGTTGTTCGTCCTTTATTTTCAAAGAGGACCAATGACATCACAGGTGATGTCTTGACTTGAGTGTAAATTGGATTTAAGTGGGGCAGAGTTGCACAAAGTCCTCAGCCTCACTCTCTTCCAGAGTCCAGTGGCAAGACGAAAGTCAAGATGACTGACAATGGCCTGGGATGCAGTGGATGACCTTGGCATCTTCAATGTCTGACCAAGCTCTAAGCGCTCCACAGCACCTGCTTCAGCCACCTTCATGGCCACTGGAACCCTGTTTTACTGGGGTGTGGCTGCTGTGCATGTTACAGTTTCTTGGAGCCACAGGTGAGAGTTGGGAGAACACCAAAGGTGGATGAGCAGAGGTTCTAGTTCTCCCTGAACACCCTACATACCACATACAGGAATATATAGAAAATAATAAATGCAGGGTAGAATTAAGAGGGACTGGGAAAATTCAGATCCTATGTCAGACACTTACTTAGCTGTGCAGCCCTGGACAAGTTGTTTCACCTATCTCAGCATCAGTTTCCTCATCTGTAAAATGGGGACAGTAATAGCACCTACATTCCAGGGTAATTGTGAGGGTCAAATAAGATAATTTATGAAAAGGCCTTCCTTAAAGTATTATATAAATGCTAGGGATTATTAAAAGAGAGCTATTATTTTTATGATTCTGTGAATTTTCCAAGTGCATCATGTACTTAGTATTTGAGGATGTGTGCAGTGAAGACACTTGATTTATAGTCAAAAGAGCTAAGTTTAAATCCAAGCTCTGTCACTTGCTTCTACTTGCATAAATTTGGTTGTTGTTCAGACATTTCAGTCGTGTCCGACTCTTTGTGACCCCATTTGGGGTTTTCTTGGCAAAGATACATTTTCCTCCCCAGCTTATTTTACAGATAAGAAAACTGAGGCAAACAGGGTGAAGTGACTTACCCAGGATCACACAGGTAGTAAGTGTCTAGGCCAGATTTGAAGTCAGGAAGATGAGTCTTCCCAATACCAGGTACTGTTATACACTGAGCCATACAACTGCCCAGCATAAATTTAGTGCTGTCACTTAAACTCTAAAGTCTTCAGTTCCTCATCTATAAAATTAGGGGTAGATCTCTAAAGTATCTCCCAGGTCTAAATCTATGATTTTTTTTTTGAGATTTTTTTTTTTTTTATACAGCTAGTAAGTGTCAAGAGTTTGATCTGAGGTCATATTTGAACTCAGGTCCTCCTGACTTCAGGGCTGGTGCTCTATCCACTGCACCACCTAGCTGCCCCTAAATCCATAGTTCTTTATGCTAGATATCTCTCCCACCCCCACCTACTGATGAAAGGTCATGTTGAAATTCAGCCCGATTTGACATGGTAAACTCCAGACAAATGGAGACAGAGGATCACAAAGTTCCAGAAACATGTAGTCAGACAGTGGAGAAATCCTCACGGTCCTAGCAGTAATCAGTAGGGTAACTGGTGATGGAGAGGAGATCGTGGAGTAGGGAAACCATTGTCCCCAAAATGGCGACCACATCTTCCAATAGGAAAAACAAAAAACAAACACAAAAATAACTCTAGCATCGCATTAATGCCATCTCTCACCCAAAAATCTATTTGTTTGTACTGTTAGGTTTTTATACCATGGGAATTAATCTCAGATTTTACATTGGAGAAGTCAGTGAAAACGCAAAGTTTTTGTTATAGTTAACTGAACTCGAATGTACCCACCGGATAAAGTGACTGACTAGGAGTCATTCGCTTCCAACCAATCCATTCCAATTCAACAAGCACTTATTAAGTTCCTTCTATGTGTAAGGAGAGAGGAATGGAGAGCCCTGTCTTGGAGTTCGGAAGACCTGGGTTCAAATCCTCCCTCTAAAGTATACTAGCTGTGGCCCCAGGCAACTCTAGTCAGTCAACAAGCATTCATTATATGCTGGGGTTGTGGCTAAGTGCTGGGGATACAAAGAAAGGCAAGAACAAAACAAAACAAAACCCCTGTCTCTACTCACAAGGAGCTCACAATCTAATGGAGAAGACCATATACCGACATTATGTACAAACAATACATATAGGATAAATTGGAGACAATCAAGAGAACAAAGATTAGTTTAAAAAGCAATAGGAAAGGCTTTCTGTAGAAGCTGGAACTTTAAGAAAGCCAGAGAAGCCAAGAGAAAGAGATGAGGAGAGAGAGAATTCTAAGCATGGAGGATAGCCAGAAAACATGCTCGAGAGTCTGGAGATGGAGTGTCTCGTTGGAGGAACAGAAAAGAAGCCAGTGATACTGGATTGCAGAGTACCTGGTGGGGAGTATGGTGGAAGAAGATGGGACAGGTAAGAGGGAGCCAAGTTATGAAGGGCTTTGAAAGTCAAATAGAGGATTTTATATTTGACCCTGGAGGTCATAGGAAGTCATTGGAGCTGACGGAGTAGAAGGATGACATGGTCAGAGCTGTCCTTTAGGAATATTCATGTGGCCCCCTAATGGAGGATGGACTGAAGCAGGGAGAGATTTGAAGCTGGGAGACATACTAGCAGGTTATGTCAATAGTTAAGGCATGAGGTGACTAGGGCCTGCATCTGAGTGGTGGTAGTGTCCAAGAAGAGAGTAAGGGGAGTATTTGAGAGACGTTACAAAGGTAGAATCAACATGACTTGGCAATTGATTGGATGTGGTGAGTGAGAGATCAAAGAATTAAGTATGACACCTAGGTTGTGAGCCTAGCGGACTGGGAGGACAGTGGTATCCTCAACAGTAATAAAAAGAAGAAAACTCTGAGCTTTTAAATTGCAGACAAGTTAACCTGCACCAATGGAGGCAGTTTCCACATGGGGAGTTTCCCATACTGACATAGTCATAGACTTGAACCATGTGATAGGCATTGTGTAGGCAGTGGGGATACAGAAATGAAATAGAAGCTTACGTTCTTGGGGGTATGACATGAATACAAAAAATGTACAGTAAGAAGGAGAAAGCACTGACAATTTAGGAGGGATGAGGGGCAGGAAGGATTTCCCCTCAGGGATAGTCCTCTGAAGATACTTGTTTTTGGCTCTTACCTGTAATTTTGTTGGAATAAGGAACTCCAGGTGCAGAATCTGTCCAGGTGCCAATGCAGACTGGCAACTTGTTATAATCTTAGAGAGTTACCTAGGGCACTGAGAGATTAAGTGAGGAGTCAGCAAGATCCAGTATACATCAGAGACAGGATTTAGGCCCAGGTCTTCCTGAATCTGAGACTGGGTCTTTATCTACCATACCACGTTGCCTCCTGAGTAGTAATAATAATAAAAATGATAATAATAATAGTAATCATAGCTAACATTTATACAGCACCACCATGTACCAGGCACTGTGCTAAGCACTTCACAAATATTATTTTGTTTTAACCTCACAACAACCCTGGGAGGTAGGTTCTATAGGGACCGTTTTACGATTGAGGAAACTGAGGCAAACAGAAGTTAGATGACTTGCCCAGGATTGCGAAGCTAGTAAGTGTCTGAGGGCAGATTTGAACTCAAGTCTTCCCGACTGCAGGTCCAGTCCTCTTAATCATTGCACCATCTTAAAAAACTCATCTTTATTAGGAAGTGAATCAAAACCCTTGCTATCAGCATCCATAGAATTGAGCACTGTTACTCATGAGCTATAAGAAATGCTCCAAATTGTAGTCCTTTCATTTTGTTGGTGATTAACAAAACTTCTACCTTCCCCTTTCTCTTTCTCAGCTAAAGTTCTCCCTTGGGGTGTGTGCTCCCATGGAAGGAGCTGTATTCTGTGCTTTCTGCTTGAATCTAAATTCATGGAAGTGTGAAGAAAGCCTCCCCACTCCTTATCTTCTTATTGGGTTGTGAAATGGTCTACTGGGTGTTTCTTTTTTTGTTTTGATTTCTTTTTTCAGGAAGTGTTCCTGGAAAGCATGCCTCACTGATTTTCCTCGGAAAGATCAGAGAAGGCGCCAACTACACACTGCCACTCAGCGGGTAGAGGTTTCTGTCCCCTGGACTTAGGTTAACACTTCCCTTCAGTGGGGAAGCAAACTTTGCGCTAACTTGAACACTGTGTGCTTTGAGATGAGCATTTCTCGGTAATAGTGACCTTCCTGTCTCTTCGCCTTTGGAACAATCTGTCTCAGTGTTTCCTGTAGCCCACGTCACTGCGGCTGGGTTCCACTGCTACCCTGTGCCAAGCTCTCCCCAGCACTGTCTCTCCTGAGCCTAGGAGCCTGAAGGATCTGAAGGACCCTTCATCCTTTCCTCAATAAGCTTCAGAAAAGGTGAAGTTTCTGAATGTCTGCAGGCTAGAGCTGTGAGCCTTAGGTATGAGCTAGCTAGATTCTGTTCACAGTCCCCAGGGCTGGCTTCCCCAAGCATAGTTCATTCCTGCCAGACAGTCCTGAAGACAGAAGAACCTAGGGCTTATTTTGCTTGGCTGGGAGCTTTGCCCAGAGCTGAGAATTTCTCACACAGATGGAATTCCCTCCATTGGCACCGAGTGATGTCTTTACATGGTTGTTCTGCTTAGCATTGTAACTCCTGTGTGTCCTAGGAACACCCAATACATAGCTGTGACACTAGGCAAGTCACTTAACTTCTCTTTTGCCTCAGTTTCCTCAACTGTAAGATGGGGACAACAGCATCTAACTCTCAAGAGTTCTAGCAAGGATAGAATGAGGTAATATTTGTAGTGGTTAGTACTACATAAATGCTTATTCCCCTCCCCTCCTCTAGATGTCAGAGCATGGACCCAGAAATATCTGTTTGGTTGACCTCACATTAGTGTTGGGACAAAATGAGGTGCAGTAGCTAGGACTTAATCCTTTTTACATTATGGACAATTTGGGAAAACCTATGAAAGGGGCAGCTAGGTGGCATAGGGGATGTGGCACTGGCCCTGGATTCAGGAAGACCAGAGTTCAAATTTAGCCTCAAGCACTTACTAGCTATGTGACCCTGGGCAAGTCAGTCAACCCCAATTGCTTTCCCCCCCAAAACCTATGAATTCCTTTTTAGAGTAATGTTTTTAAAGGCATAGAATAAAATACATAGGATTGTAAAAGAAACCAACCAGCTGTCTTGAAGTAAAGATGTACTTTTTTCCCCATCCAAGTTCATAGCCCTGCCCCCCGAAATTTATCCATGAATTTCCTTACCCCAGGTAAAGAAACCCTGCAGGAGAATGAGGTAATAAATAGGAGTATGCTTAGAAAATAAAAACACTCTACACATATACAGTTACCATCATCATCATCATTATCATCTCTGTTTGGCAAACAGACCTCCATGCAAAGCTCTATCCATGCTTGGGTTCTGCACTTGGCCTGGACAGATAGACCTGGAAAGTGAACTAGATGATCACTAAGGTAGCCTCTGAATAGTAGGATATCAACTCCTTGAGGCCAGGACACAGCCAATTTTTGTCTCTGTGTCCCTGGTACGGCACATTGTAGGTACTTGATACGTGTCTGCCATACTGAAGTTTAGAAGGAGACCATCCAGAAGGTCGCCGCTCTGCCCAAGTTCTCTCCATCAGTATTTTGGGGGCCTAACCTGCTTCCACATCTCAGGCCAGTGCCAGGTTTCTCTTTCTATTACAACCTCCCTTTTTCTGTTTTCTGTAAAACCTCACCTATTATCGTCCCCAGTCACTTTCACTTTCCCCACAACCTCTTCCTCTTTGGCTGTCTCCCTGCTTCCCCCCTCCCCCACCCCTCACCCCAGCATCCGAGTCTCCTCCCCTCCCTGGTTGTTCCCCCCATCCTTTATCTCACTGGCACATGCCTCGTTCTAGCCCCTGATCATTCTGCTAATCAATCCCCTACCTACCTGGCAGATAGGTACCTCGGGGTATGGTGAGGCTGGGCAGAATTTCTTCTCCACATGGACCAAATTGGCCCAGCGCAAGCATCTGCACAGACTGCCTCAGAAGAGCAGGCTGCTTCCTCCCATCGTGCCTTCCCCAGGAGGTTCTCATCCAAGACCTGCTTCATTCTGTCAAGGGGTGGATTGTAGCAAAATTAATCAATGTCATCTGCATGCCATTTGCAGCAATTCTGCTGCCCCCTGATACTTCAGAGCCTTGGGCCCATGTGATTTTGTGACCTTATGGGAGGCCCGGTTCCATCCAGATCACTCAATAAACATTTATTAAGCACCTACTATGTTTCAGGCACTGTGTGTGTGTAAGTGTGTGAGTGTGTCTCTCTCTCTCTTCCCCCCCCTTCACCCCATCTTGAGGGGCTGACCCTGCCACAAACATCTGAGTGACTTATTAATTTAACTCCAGCCCAGCACCTAGAGCTCAATACTTTTTCAGTGATGCTATTATAATTGTTTATTAAATGGTGCATTTGTGTAGAACTGACAAAGAGCTATGAACAAAAAACATCAGCAAGAGATCATATTCAAATTATGCCGCTGACTGGAGGGAGGAGGAGGTTGACCCTTCAGGCATGAATATGCTTCCAAAAGGAGGTTAGCAGTCAGTCAAAAAAAAAAAAACACAGACATCTGTCAGAGGCCTACTACCTGCCAGGTACTATGCTAAGCATTGGTAATTTAAAGAAAGGCAAAAGACAATCATTACTCTCAAAAAGCTCACAGTCTAATGGGGAGACAGCATGCAAACAAGACATAGACAGGATCAATTGGAAATTAATCACGAACTAAGTGGAACTGAAAAGATTTCTGGTAGATGAGATTTTAGCTGGGACTTGAGGAAGACACAGAAACCAAGAGGTGGAAATGAGGAGCAAGAACTTTCCAGGCCTAGGGGACAGTGATGGAAATACCCGGCATAGAGATGGAGTGTCTTGTTTGAGGAATAGCCAGGAAGCCCGGCCACTAGTCTACAAGGCACTTGTCAGGGTGCAGGAGAAGCTATACTTCCAAGGAGTGGAATCACTCAGCACCCGCCAAACATGCCACATAATCGAAGATGAACAAGGCGTTGATTATGACAGCGAGAATGACTTCTGATGTTTACATTACATTTTAAGCTTTGCAAAATGCTTTCATTCCCTCAAATGTGCTCTCATGGTGGTTTCCTCAGCTTGGAACTAGTCTGGTTTCATTTTAATAATTGCAAAGTGTTGCCTGTTTGGCAAGATAAATACTCTTAGGGATATCCCTTGATATATCTATGTGAAATTCCTCCTTATCCTATGGCAAATTAAAAAAAAAACTGGGGATGCATTTTCTTCTACGGGGTTTGTGACCACTTGGAATAGCCATCTTCTTTTTCTCTGCCAATCCAAATCCTTTGGCATGAGCAGTCACCAGTTTTCTCCACTTAATGTTGCAACCTGCAATACAAACTACAGCTCAATCACCACTCTGTGTGACCTTGAACAAGCCACTTTAATAACAGTCATAACTAGCATTTTACAGTGCTTTAAGAATTGCAAAGCACTTTATGGAAATTATCTCATTTAATCCACACAACAAACCTGTGAATTAATTGCTATTATTATCCTCTTTTTACAGATGAGGAAACTGACTGAGAGCTTGGGAGAGGTTGTGACTTGCCCACGGCCAGCTAGTAAGTGGGTGAAGTAGGACTGAAACTCATTTCTTCCTGCCTCCAAATCTGGCACTCCATCCACCATACCGGAGAGCTTCCATTTAGATCACAACCTCTCTGGGCCCCTACTCATCTTTAAAATTGAGGGAGCTGCCTGCTGCTCCAGGGTCCTTTCCAGTTCCAATGTTTCATAATTCCATGCTTCTATGTGTTCTTACCATGACCTTTATCTGCAGATCTGATGGTTTCTACCCGTGCTGCCGAGTTCACTCAAGCAGATAAAGAAGACGAGAGTGCACCTGCAAAAAGTACATATTTCAATGATCTCCTTTATGATGCAATTACCAGGAACAGGCTGTATTGTGAAAGTGTGAAACATCTGTTTATTACTTAGTACTTAGCAGGGAATTAGGTATGTTGAAGGTACTCAGGCGGTACTTACAGAATTAGTCCACCCTGAATTGACCCTGGACCTTCTAAGTTCAGTAAGAGGGAAATTTTGTAATTGGAGTTGCCACATAAGGAGGGGCAGCAGTACTAATTAGCCAGACTTGGGACTTGAAGGCTCACTTCACCAAACCATGGATGACCTATTGCTGTCTGTGGGTACTATAGCCACAGCTCTGACCTCAAAGTGCCCTCAAACAAGGTTAGCCATTGTACCCATAGTACATTGTACCCATTGTACTCCGGCAGGGAGTGCTGGCTGCTTTGCAAGCTGAGCTTGTCACTTCCAAAACTAGGCCTCCTTAAGACAAAATTAATGGAAAGGGATTTGGCTCTTTCGGAGAAACGATAGGATTCTTGGGTTCCAGTCAGGACCAGGGGCCAGTAGTGACAGTCAGTGTTTGGCAGAACAGCCTGGACTATTTTTCAGCTGGTTTGGGTTCGGCCAACTCCCCGCTGTGTTTTGCCAAACTCATTTTCCCACCTCATTCAAGCCACATGGATCGCAGGGAAAGTCTGGTCATAGCTCTGTTATTCCCACCAACCTTTCTTAGCACCAGGTTTGGAGGGGGGAGTGGATTTGCAAATTCTACTCCCAGCCTCATTTCAAAGCCTTACAATCCATGCCATTTCTCCCTTAAACCCAGAAATCCCATGAGACACTGGGTTTTCACCCAACTTACGTTGTGACATCTTAGGGTAAACGTTGGGTTGACTTCAATTATTCTGGCTCTTGAGGCAGTGACAACTTTGTTTTTACCCGATTGTCTGTTTCCTTTAGATACCTTCTAAATGACACATAGGGATGGTGACACCCCAAAAGGATGTTTCCTGACTGGCTGAGAATGAGTTTAGGATTGTTGAAACAAATGAGTTAGATTTAGAGTGCCTAAGTGAGAAAATCCTTTGGAGGGGAGGAGTGAGTTGAGGGAGGGCTCATAGAACCCATAAATTTAGAGCTGGAAGAGAATCGTGTTCTAGAACTGGAAATATTATTCTCTTGAGGGGAGGGGGCAGAAGGGTGGGTATTCTTGGGCTGGAAAGAATCAAAAAGGTCAAGATAGATCTGAGGACCTTTTGTTGAAAATTAGTTTAGAAAGCTGAAGTGCCAATCACTTGTGGCGAGAATTTTCAGGGTCCTTACTAGCTGTTGCCCAAATTAGGCAGCACAAGATACAGACAGATGGGTAAACTACAGTTTATTCACTCAAGAGCTAGACTCAGGTGATGTTGAGAGGTTCTAACTTGCCCATGGTTTCATCTAGTGCTGCTGAGTTCACTTGAACAGATGAAGAAGACAAGAGTGCACCTGCAAATGCCAAGTTCATTTTTTAACGATCGCCCTTATGATGCAATTACCAGGAACATGTTGTATTGTACAAGTGTGAAACATCTGTTTTTGGCTTAGTACCTAGCAGAGCATTACATATGTAGTAGGCACTCAGCCTGTACTGTGAGGGATATTTGGGTCTCACAATTCTGCAGATGAAATATGTATGTTTATACATATGCATTATTATTTTATGTATGTATATATGTATATCTTCTCTCCTGCTGAGCGCAATTAAGGTAGAGAGGAACAGCTTCTTACAAAGCAATTTTTTTTTTCTGGAACAAAAATAGAATCCGAATTTTCATGGAAATATTTTTTAACAGTAGAAAGGAAAAATATCTCTGTTAACTCCATGAAGATGAACAAATACCTTGTCTTTACATAAAAAGTAAACTACTTTTTTCCATAAGGCACCAACAATTCTTAAGGTACAATGTATACACTTGGCACCTTTTATACATATGATAATATTTAACATCATTAACGTGTTGTTAATGTATAGGACAATACGAATTTTTTTTCTGGTTTTTTTTTTTTGGCAATTGAGGTTAAGTGACTTGCGCAGGGTCACACGACTAGTAAGTGTCAAGTGTTTGGTCTGCGGTCAGATTTGATCTCAGGTCCTCCTGACTTCAGGGCTCTGTGCTCTATCCACTGCGCCACTACAACGCAATTTTGGTAAGAGCAGGCAGATACTACAAGTAGACAGGAATAGATACTTAATACGTCAGAAAGGTGATACTCATCACTTTTTACAAAGGAAAGAATGTTTCTTTTATACCAGACCAAAGAAAGAAATAGTACCTTCTTTATTCAAGTCATTTTGGCAGTCAATAAACATTTGTTAAGAGCCTAATACTTTTATTAGTTATAATAAAAAAAAAAGAGGACTTCCTTGGACTATTGAGGTCCTTTGAATTTTCTTTTGTAGTCTTAAAGGGGAGGAAGGTATCCAAGGGGGTCATTCAGCACACGTCAAAGAAACATTCCAAAGAAAGAAAAAAAACAAATACAGGTCAAAATCAAGTCATAGTTTCTTCAAAATCCACTTTCAACACAATCAAGAAGCATTTATTATATGCCACAACTTCAGCTCTGCCTTACTCCAATTCATGGGCAAGTCACGACATTACCCTCCTGATGTCATAGGTACTCTTCCAGAACCAAAAAACCAACAACAGCAACATGCCAGGCATAGTACTACACCCTGGGCAACTAAATTCAGTGGATGAAACAAACCCTACTTTAAAGGAAGCTTGTGTTCTCACAGAGAAGACAACAAGAACATACATAAATATATTGAGAATAAATGCAAAGGAAATAAATGCAAGTAAATGCAAAGTGCTTAAATATTAGGTCCTTTGAGAGGAAAAGCATGAACAATTGGGGAGAATCCCAGAACCTCCTTTTGAGGGCACCCAAGCAGCCATCTGTACTTTTCACCAGGTGATAAATCCAAGCTCCTCCATATGCCCCTGGGTACCCTCCCCTTCCCACTCCCCTCTAATTTTTAGCTTCTTTTTGTTTTTTGTCTTCCCTCTTTAGAATGTAAGCTCCTTGAGGGCAGGCTTATATTTGTATCCCTAGTGCTTAGCCCAGTAAGCATTTAATAAATTCTTATTAACTGAATGACTGGAAGTATAGAGACAGCTCTAGTGAATAAAATGCTGGATCTGGATTTGGGAAGACCCAAGTTCAAATCCTACATCAAACACTTACTAGCTCTGTGACCTAGGCAAGTCACTTAACCTATGTCTGCCTTTGTATCCTCATCTGTAAAACAGGGAGAATACTAGCTACTA